AATGAATCCAACGTCCAATATATTAATGGGCACCAAGAATGAATCTAACGTCTAATGTATTAGTGGCAACAAGAATCTAATGTCCAATGTATTAGTGGGCACCAAAAATGAATCCAGCATCCAATATATTAATGGAAACCAAGAATTAATCTAACGTCCAATGTATTATTAGTGGGCACAAAGAACAAACCTAACGTCCAATGTATTAGTGGGCACCAAAAACAAACCCAACGTCCAATATATGAGTGGGCACCAAGAATGAATCCAACGTCCAATGTATTAGTGGGCACCAAGAACAAACCCAACGTCCAATATATTAGTAGGAACCAAGAATGAATCCAATGTCCAATGTATTATTACACCAAAAACAAACCCAATGTCCAATATATTAGTGGGCACCAAGAATGAATTCAACGTCCAATATATTAGTGGGCAAGAATCCAACATCCAATGTATTAGTGGGCACCAAGAATTAATTCAACGTCCAATGTATTAGTGGGCACCAAGAATGAATCCAATGTCCAATGTATTATTAGTGGGTACAACGTCCAATGTATTATTAGTGGGCACAAAAACAAACCTAACGTCCAATATTTTAGTGGGCACCAAGAATTAAGGCAACGTGGAACCAAGAACCAACCAACCAACAAGAAATAAAAAAAAAGTATGCCAGCTGTTAAAGGTAAAACAAACTATCATACAAAAAAAAAAAAATCAAGATAAGAGCAAAAAGGCTTTTTATGCTCTTATTCGTAATGACGTTATTACTACATCTTTCGTAATGACATTATTATATTTTTTGAAAATTTTAAAGATCTTGCGTCAGATTACAGCTGACACATATCAGGTGACCGATCGACAGGTGATACGTGTCACCTGAAAATCAGCATCTGACATGCGTCGGATTGCATCTGACGCAAGAATGCATCTGAGGCACAATATACATAAATGAAATATCTCTTTCTTGTGACACAGACCTGCTGCTGTATAATATATCCAGGTCTTTTGTAAGTTTTTTGACAGGTATTATGTATTAGACCCGGGTCTTTTGGTCAGTGCACTACGGTAGCTTATTTTCAGACATATACGGTAACGTTTTTAGGGCTTTATTTATTTCTTCAAGAATTGCATCTAATCCCTGATGCTGATTTAGAAGCTCTGACCAAGAAACTATACAATTCTTTTCTACAATATCCTATATAGTTGGATCAAGTCGCATCATCTGTATTTTATCTGTGATTTCTATTGAACGATGGATCAGATGATATCGTGCTAATCACACCGCAGAAAAAACTCTTCTTGCGGCACTTTTCAATAATGGATTATTTTTCCGAATAGCTTTTCTATAGTTGATTATAGCTTGCAGATATCTAAATATCTATTTTTTTTACGGTTTATAGAATAACCTCATTGGTCGGGGTTTTCTCTTTATTATTAAAGTATCTGCAGTCCGTATTTTATGGAAGGGTTTACAGTAACATATCAACGAGGGTACAATAAGCCACATGTAAACTTTAGTCATTGTTTATTTAAGGGTTCTGCCCGTAGGTTCCCCACTCATTGCCATATCTAAGACCCGCTTGTGGGTCCCCTATTTAAACTCTCTGATCTTCAATGTTATTCTGCTTGCATGATCTTTAATGTTAGGTACTTAGTCCAACCTTCGGACTACTTTATCTGTAAGGTAAATTCTACCAAAGGAGGTAGTTCCCACAGCCACACCTTATCCGGATTTTTTTGTGCCAGAGGTGATTCCATATTAGGTAAGGCCAATCCTTTCCACAAACGTCGACGACATTCTCCACATTTCTTACTATAGTAGTGCCAGCACTCTGCCGTACCGGTTTCTTTCCGGGAATTCCTTAAACCAGACATGTACCTTCACTTGGACTTCTACAGGGCTTCGCATATGATTATAGGCTCCTTTTTAGATTACAGAGTATTTACCTCCAGCCAAACTCGAACCGTCGACCTTGTCTGTGGGGGATGGGAGCTTATCCATTAAGCTATAGGACCCGAACCCCTATCTAAATATCTATTTAACACCAATCAATTAATTATTATATATAATATTAGAAAAAATTTAAATGTTATTCGATACTATCATACAATTTTGCAATCATTAATGTCTGCAAAATCACATGATCAAAGTTGTTATTAAGTATATATATATTTTTTTTTCAAAAATGCATCTAAGCATACTTTATTTATTTGTTTTATAAAAGTAATATATATATTTACATGTTAAGATTAATGTATTTGAGAATATTGTTAGTTTTTTCTGATTTGGAAAGAACTTTTTTTGTTAAATAGTTTTTATAAAAGTTTGATTTCATGTTTAATTCTTATAGTTATAATATTTACTATTGCTTCTTAAGGGATTATGTTATCACACTATCTGGCTTGAGTATACCAATACCAGATTTCATAGATAGCTATAATATGTAGCCAAACAGCTGCTTTTCTCTTTTTGGTATTTGCAATATTAGTTGCTTGTGTAATGTTTTCAAGAGTTCTGAGGATAGCATCTCTATCCATATTGTTTAGTGCTTTGTAAGTTGTTTTCCAAATCATCTTGCTTAGTAAGCACTTAAGAGCAAAGTGCTCTATTGTTTGGGTAATGTAGGAGCAGTTGGAACAATCCTCTAAGTTGGTTTGATCAATATGAACGAGTCTGCATTCAAGAGAGAGGGCTCTGTGTATTAGTCTCCAAAATATATCTTTCTTTTTGTTTAGCAACCACTTTGTCTTTATCCATTCATGTGAATTCTTCTTTGAAGAATTAGTGGTGGCTAAATTTGGTAGGGTATGAAAGCTTTTTAAAACTCCTTTTACGGTAAATAGGTTGCTACTCATATCAAATATTTTAATCTGATCGAGTGATCAAGGCCATGTGTGGTTGGTTAAAACTTTTTCTTTAAATCTTTCCCATACTGTATAAAGGTTTGTACTAATAGTTTCTCTTTCCGTAGTGACCCAGAAAATATTACTTGTAAGAAGTTTAAGCAGTATAGTAAGTAGCTTAGCATCAAGCATGTCTTTGAGGATGAGAGCTGATAGCCCTCCTTGTTTATAATTATACTAGAATATTGAGTATTGTGGAAGCATCTGTGAATTGTTTTTAATCTAGCCTTTAATAAGAGTATCAATTTTGTTGAGTTGTTTTCTGGTTGGAGATAAAAGATAGGCTGAGTACCAGATCTTTGAAACAAGTAGCATTTTAGTTGCAAGAATCTTTCCTTTAAACAAAAGATTTCTTTAAGATAGGTCTTGAATCTTGTTTTTGATTTTTTTGATTGTATTACTCCAAAAGGCTTTATTTGGGTCCCCTCTAATATCAACTGTAAAGCCAAAAATTGTAATATTGCTTTGAGTATCAACCAATATATTGAATCTGGTTTGGTCTGGTAGTTCTACTCTGTTGGCATTTGCTGTGAGAGGAATAAGAGTAGATTTGGATTTGTTCACTAGTGCATTTGAGGCTTGCTCATAAAGTGATAAAATTTCTTGTAGCTTATTCCAATCTGAGACCTGGCCAATATCAATTGAAAGATCATCAGCATAAGCTGCGATTTTAAATACTGAATTGTTTACTTGGATGCCTTTAATGTTCTGGTCAATTGCTTGAATCAATAGATTGATAGCTAATATATATAGAAGTAGAGAAAGAGGGTCCCCTTGTCTAACCCCTCTTTCTACCCTAAAAACCTCTGAAATAGCATCTGTGTCTACTGTATGGGCTTTTTGAGTAGGCTAATAATATTGGTAAACTTGTGGCTAAAGTTCATTCTCTCTAGAACAAGGTTTAGAAATTCATGGTTTACTCTGTCAAAAGCCTTCTGTTAGTCTAGTTGAAGAAGCCAATCTGGTCTTTTTGGTTTCTTAAAGTAGTGATGATATCTAGAGCAGTATCAATGATTAATCTTTTTACAATAAATGCCTGTTGTGCAGGACCGATAATCTCATCACAAATAGGGTTTATTCTATTTGCTAGAATTTTTATGAAGATTTTTGCATCTGAATTTACTAAAGAGATAGGTCTCCAGTTATTTAGATTAGATAAGTCATCAGCTTTTTTAGAAATGAGAGTGATAAAGCTTTTGTTCTATGAGTTTGAAATTGTTCTAGTAGTTATTACATTGTTAAAAATTTTAGCGAGAATTGAAAGAGTAAATTCTTTAGTATCTTTGTAGAATTCATAAGTTAAACTATCTAAGCCAGGAGCCTTATTATTAGGTAGCTTGTTAATGACAAGACTGATTCCCTCTTCAGTGATAGGTCTGGCTAGCTGAAGGTTTTATTCAGAAGAAACCTGTTTTAGGTTGGCTGTGATCTGAAGTGCTACTTTTCTGTTAATATTTTTGTTCTTATACAAAGCTTGGTAAGAGTTTTTAATATAGCTTATTGTTTGTTCTTGTGTAAGCTCATTAATAGTATTTGGGTCTCTAATTTTGCTGCTGTAGCCAGATATATTTTTGAACTTGTAGAGAGCAAAAAAGTATTTAGTTAACTTTTCTCCCTCTTCTATCTATTTAGCTTTTGAGCACAGATGCTATTTATCAGATAATAATTGTGGTTCTTTCTGTAGTTTAAGGTTTATCTCTTCTGATACCAGTTTAAGTTCTTCCAAGTTAGGATTCTTAGCAATTTTGTTATTAATATTATTAAGCCTTTTTGCAGTCTTTGTATGTTGTTTTCTGAAGGTGAGGGAGGCTTGGTTGCTCTAACAATAGATTGAATTTTACACTTGCACAAATCCCATTCTAGAGAGTCTTAGAAGTTTTGGAGTTCTTTAATAATATCATCCTGGTTTTCTGGTAATATTTTGGTTTGAAGTTGAGAACACTTTCTACTAGTAAGTGATCAGAGTTTTCAAATCAAGTGAGCGTATTAGTGCAGAAATGACTATAGCTAGTCTCGATAAAAATGTAGTCCAGCCTGGTTGCTATTCTTATATTGCCAGAAATTGTTTGGTAAAAAGTAAGAAAAGGGTCTTCTTTAGAGAATAGTATGATATCTGTATAATCAGCTATCAGTTCTCTCAGTAGATCTCTAAAGTGATCATTCTGAAAAGTGGCTTGACTAATTTTGTCTTTTTCTGGTCTTAAGTTTGTATTAAAATCACTTCCTATTATGCAGATGCAGTTGTTATTTAAATTTGGCACCCAATTGTTAAAAAAGTTAATTCTTTCTTCAATATTGGGCAGTGTATAGATATTTGTAACAAGAAAAGGCTGTTGTTTGATCATAGTTTTAACCAAAACTATTTGATCATTATAGAAGATTTTTGTATCAGTAAATTTAATGTTTCTTTTTCCTACAAGGATTGCTACTTT